TTCATGACTGATCTCACAAAGTTTACTGCTTAAATACGTTAGCTGATATAACTTAAACATTTTAAAAATATTAGAAGGTTCATGACTGATCTCACAAAGTTTACTGCTTAAATACGTTAGCTGATATAACTTAAACATTTTAAAAATATTAGAAGGTTCATGACTGATCTCACAAAGTTTACTGTTTAAATACGTTAGCTGATATAACTTAAACATTTTAAAAATATTAGAAGGTTCATGACTGATCTCACAAAGTTTACTGTTTAAATACGTTAGCTGATATAACATGGGTTTTGTTGAGTTACTATACACTGAGTTGGGTTATGTTGAGTTTTCACACACTGATGTCCGGTTACAGTGTAATCGGACATCAGTGTATAGTAACTCAACATAACTCAACTGTAACCGGACATCAGTGTGTGAAAACTCAACAAAACCCTTATACTTTTATGTTAAAGTACTAAAACAATATATTTTATTCGTCTTTAACTTTGTACAGATTTGTTTAGCTATAATAACCCTTTCGGGTTAGTAAATCATATTTAATTGTAGTAATTTTTCTCTTCCTGCCAGCCTCTCGAGCCCCACGTGACTTACGGGCCAATAAAAGGATATTACGTGGGTTACAAGGTGCAAGGAACAATCGACTCTTACACTTACAAAACTTTAAACTCTGACGAACTAAACCAACAACTAACGTGCGTTTTGACAAACCTCCGAAGACTTACTCGTTACAGCATTGTTGTCCAGGCTTTCAACAGCAAGGGGGCAGGCCCTCCATCGGACGAGGTTATTGTGCTCACCTTAGACAATGGTAAGTAGTCTGACCATCGTTCGAACCCGACAGATCAGAATTTCTTAGCGATTATATATCCTACCAATCTTTCAACACAGTTGTTGTATGCTTCGTTGTACTAATACTCGCGCGATTCCTACCACGTTGATCTGGTATGTCAGTAGTAATGGCGTCAGGTCAACAGTGGCGAAACGTTGATTCTAATTTTTGATTACCTGTTTTGTGCTATTTCCACTTTAATCAAATACAATTTTTATTTCAAGCACTGTAATCAGATTCTGTCCATTTCACTAGGATCCGTCATCTCTTGTCTCAGCGATAAGCTTGAGGGTTTATAACGCTAAAATTTGGTGTCCATCGTAAATAGCCCATTGTTTAGTTTGTGTTAAAAAACAAAAATAATCTCTTTATATTAATCACACAAAAAACAACAACATTATTTGAGGTTAACTTATCACACCTTCGTCATATGGACAATATAGTCAAGGTTATGTTGAATTAGCTCACATTGAACAATATAATTAAGGTTATGTTGAATTAGCTCACATTGATCAATATAATTAAGGTTATGTTGAATTAGCTCACATTGATCAATATAATTAAGGTTATGTTGAATTAGCTCACATTGAACAATATAATTAAGGTTATGTTGAATTAGCTCACATTGATCAATATAATTAAGGTTATGTTGAATTAGCTCACATTGAACAATATAATTAAGGTTATGTTGAATTAGCTCACATTGAACAATATAATTAAGGATATGTTGAATTAGGTCACATTGAACAATATAATTAAGGTTATGTTGAATTAGCTCACATTGAACAATATAATTAAGATTATGTTGAATTAGCTCACATTGATCTAAGGTTAACTTATCACACCTTCGTCATATGGACAATATAATTAAGGTTATGTTGAATTAGGTCACATCGATCAATATAATTAAGATCATGTTGAATTAGCTCACATTGATCATTGATTATATAAAGTATTTTCCCTAATCTGTGGTTTCGATAAGGTTTGTTTTCTTTCCTTCGCGCTGATCTTTGTTGCTTTTGTTGTTGTCCAAAGATTTTTGGTTACAGTTAAGTTTTGCTGATTTATCATATAATGATCTTCAGTTACAGTAAAATACAATCCATTTATCGTACAGTGCTATTCGGATACAGTTAAATTTGGTTATTGTACACTATTTTCCGGTTATATTTACATTATGTTGAGTTATCGTACACTGATGTCCGGTTACAGTTGGGTTATGTTGAGTTATCGTACACTGATGTCCGGTTACAGTTGGGTTATGTTGAGTTATCGTACACTGATGTCCGGTTACAGTTGGGTTATGTTGAGTTATCGTACACTGATGTCCGGTTACAGTTGGGTTATGTTGAGTTACTATACACTGATGTCCGATTACAGTTTACCAGCATAAGTTCAGGAGGTAATAGTTCAGGGTATAATATTAGCAAGGGAGGGAGCTAACAATAGTTATTAGTACAATACCAGCATAAGTTCAGGAGGTAATAGTTCAGGGTAAACGGTTCAATTATTGTCCCTACAGTTTCTTGAATGTCTCGATATAGTTTATAAACGTTTCTAAACGGTTCAATTATTGTCCCTACAGAGTTTCATGAATGTCTCGATATAGTTTATGAACGTTTCTAAACGGTTCAATTATTGTCCCTACAGAGTTTCTTGAATGTCTCTACACCGCTTAATGAACTTTCTTAAAATGTTCCATTACTGTCCCTACATAACTTCATGAATGTCCTTACATAGTTTAATCCTTTGATTGCGGCTGCTATAAACGCGCGCGGAACTTTTACGAACCGTACACTGTATACAACATACTCGCATTCAACTGCCCTAGGCGGACTGTACCCTATACGGCGAATCAATGGGTTAATGGCCTTTCCTAAAAAGTTCAGTTATTGCCCCTACATTATTTAATGAATATCTTTGAATCATTTAATGAACGCCCCTACAGAGTTTAAAGGTTGTTTTTCAAATTGTTCGTGATTAATGATACTGAGGTCCTTCTAGTGCATTCTATAACTTTTAAAGTAATGTTGACTGTACACTCACCATTACTATGTTTCCAGTCGTCATTGGCTAATTGTTTATTACTTTGTGATCGTTTTAAAATGTCTCTTCTTTTCATATGGTGTTTTCCAAGCTGCCCCATTGCTGTTTTATTGTACGACTTTCATTTCAGTAATGTCTTCTTCATTAGTTAATGTTTTGTAACCGAACTTTCCATGCACTGCCTTATCATATGATTCATCCTCAAACTTGTGATTCTTTTGAAATCACCACCTTAGAGTAGCCAAAGAATAGGCGGAGGGTGCTTTTGACTAGTTGTTTTCCCTTCTAGTCTATTAGCTACAAATTAGGGACAGCTAACAGATAAAATTGTTTTGTAACTTTGCGAGAACTTAACGAAACAAACCAATCATTACCATCTACTTTTATTTATCATAAACCATTCCAAACACATTTTTCAAATCAAAATTTTGTATGTTATTGTTGTCGTTACAGTACCTGGTGGTCCTCCTCAAGAGGTGGGAGCGGAAGCTTTAGGATCACATCTGGTGGAAGTCACGTGGAAGGTATTTAAAACATAGCTTCCACTTATAATTCAACGTATCGTTACCTTCCCTCTGAATCTCACTAACAATCTTTGTAAAAACACATTCAACGTATACTGGTGTTATACTAGTAATCCTTGTTTCCTTCCTCTATAAACTTATGTTATACAAAAACTATTGTTACCTGCCCTTTAAACTGATGCTGTTGTCACCTACGCACTGAACTTCTGCTGGTATTGTACTAAAAACTATTGTTAGCTCCCTCCCTTGCTGATATTATAAAACTATACAGAGACATTCAAGAAACTTACTAAAAGGTTCAATTATTGTCCCTACAGAGTTTCATGAATGTCTCTATATAATTTATGAACGTTTCTAAACGGCTCAATTATTGTCCCTACAGAGTTTCATGAATGTTTCTATATAGTTTATAAACGTTACTAAAAGGTTCAATTATTGTCCCTACAGAGTTTCATGAATGTCTCGATATAGTTTATGAACGTTTCTAAACGGCTCAGTTATTGTCCCTAGAGAGTTTCATGAATGTCACGTTTATAAACTA